TTGCATAATTCTATCATGTGTTCTCCAGCATCATTTCTATCACTAAGGTCAAATTTTCCATCTACTGGTCCTTCCTCTTTGCTCCCAACCTTTGCATTCAAATCACTAGTAATGAGCAATACATCTTGTTTGCATATTTGATCGATTTCAGATTGAAGAAATTGGTAGAATTCTTCTATTTCATCCTCAATGCCTTTAGTGGTTGGTGCATAAATTTGAATAATAGTGGTATTAACTTGGTTTCCCTGTAGGTGCATGGATATTATCCTGTCACATACAGCATTGTACTTCATGATTGATCTGGATATGTTTTTTTTGATGATGAATGCAACACCATTCTTTTCAATTGGTCATTCCCGGAATAGTAACCAATGTGGTTGTCAGATTCAGAATGGCCAATACCAGTCCATTTCAGCTTCCTAATGCCTAAGATATCGATGTTTATGCATTCCATTTCATTTTTGACAATTTCCAACTTTCCCAGATTCATACTTCGTACATTCCATGTTCCCGTATTCAATGGATGTTTATAGCTGTTTCTCTTGATTTTGAGTTGTGCCCCATCAGCAAATGAAGGTTCTGTGGGCTTTTCTCCCACGAGCTTAACTCCATTCACCTCATCATGGATAACTCTACTTTGAGGAGGCATCTCTTCCCCAGTCGCATTTTGAGTGTCTTCCAACCTGAGGGGCTCTTTTCCCGGCATTGTGTCTGACAGTGTTTCTCTTCTATTCATAAGGTTTTCAGTGACTAAAGATTCAGCAGTAGTTCATGACTCTTTCTTCCTAGTCTTTGTCTGGAAGCTCATCTGAAACATCTCCACCATGGGTGACCCTTCTGGTTATTTAAAATACTGGTGGCATAGCCCTCAGAATCACAGCAACTCACAAGCCACCACAGTAGGACAGACAGACAGATGAGTGGTGGCCGTTTGGAGCTGCTGACTTGTTTCCTATTCCTAGTGACTCTCTATAGGGTTTCTGAGGCTATGAGGGATAAGCTAATTATCTGACTCCCTTTCCACCATTTCCTCAGGACTAATTTCCTTAGTACTTTTATTTTAAATAAACCACACCTTCTGTACTAGTATGTAATGATTTATAAAAAAAATTCATATAGCATAGGATCATATCTGCTTATATCTATTCCTGATCTTCTAGTCTAATCCCTTAATCTACCAACTTCTTTACAGAATTTACTTTTAAATTGGTCAGGAAAATCACTTTAATTTTACAAAATACTTTTATCTATTTTCCCTTTTGATTCTTATATGAATTTTAGTTCAAAAGAAAATCCCACTGACATTTGGGTGAAGGTTGGATTAAACTATAAATTAATTTGGAGGAGATCACTTACTCTTGTTATTTATTAATCAGTATTACAGCCTTGGAAACCCTATGCGGCAGTTCTGCTCTGTCCTGTCAGCTCACTGTGGATCATAACTAACTAGACGGCAATTTTGTTGTAAGTGCCATCTAGTTGGTTTCAACTCATTGTCATTCTGTACAGGGTTTCTGAGAGGAGCAGTCGGTGGGTTTGAACTGTCCACCTTGTGGGTCACAGTCCAGTGCTGATAGGTTTGGTATTTTGGTTATCCTAGTATAAAAATGCCCAGCATTTCTCAAGCTGGGGGAACTGAAGAAAAAATTCAAGCTTCAGTTTTTGTTACTGAAGGATTCTATGGGCAAATTATTGAATGATGCAGAAAGCATCAAAAGAAGATAGAAGGAATATGCAGTCACTGTACTAAAAGGAAATGGTTAATGTTCAACCGTTTCAAGAGGTGGTAGCATATGATCAAGAGCCGATGATACTGAAGGAGGAAGTCCAAGGTGCATTGACAACATGGATCTTCAAGGAGCTCTGGTAGCGTAGTTGTTACGAATCGGGCTGTGAACCACAAGGTCAGCAGTTCAAAACTACCAGCTGTTCCGTGGGAGAATGATGAGGCTTTCTGCTCCTGTAAAGATTTACAGTCTCGGAAACCCTATACAGGGTCACTATGAGTTGGAACCGACTCCATGGCACATAACCACCACTACCACATGAATCTTCAGTTTTCAATTTTGTTATACTCTGGAAATTTTTATATGGCATGAGAATTAACTGTTCCTTAAAATCAGCAAAACCATCTGGTGCATCACAATCATTTTGATGGCCTCATAAAGATTTCAGTTCCTTTTTATTTGCTCATAATTTTTATTAGAATTAAGAGCATAACATTTATTAGCATTGTTATACATCATATTAGAAAGGCTATGATGCAGCGATTAAAGTACTCGGCTTCTAACCTGAAAGCCTGTGACTCCAATTCACCCAGTCACTCCTTGGCAGAAAGATGGGCCAGTCTGGGCTCTGAAAATCTTATGGAGCAGCTCTGCCCTCCTCTATCCTGCTCACTATAAATCAGCATAAATTTGATAGAAGTGGGTTTTATACATTGTATTATATATGAAAATATGCTTACATCTTTAATGTAATCTTAATTTTAGTTCTTCTTAATTTGATTTACAAGAAAATTTTTATTTTATGTTTTCTAAACAAACAACCCTTAGCTTTTAAAAATCATTTAAAATTTTTCTGGTTTTAACTAATTGGTTTGGCATTTATTTTTAATGTATTGAATTCAATGTTTAGTTCATTTGCTTTTCTTCTTCCATATTTAATATGCAAAGAAATTTAATACTATGCATTTGACTCAATGTGGTTTTATATATATACCATTTGTTTTCTTATATGTCATGTCTTCATTTTCTAAAATTCTGGATTTGATTGTTTGTTTATTTGGCAATGTGAGTGCAAATCCAGACTGCTTAGAAAATGAAAATACCACATATTTTCAAAACCAATGGGATGTGATCTTTAAATTTAGAATTAAATAAAATTTAAAAATCATTTCTTTCAGGCCAGTAGCCATATTTCACGTGTTAAATAACCACATGTGGCTATTGGCCACCATATTTGACATTGCAGATACACAACATTTGCATCATTGCACAAAATTCTATTGGACACTGCTGTTCTAGATTACTTTTGGCATTTAGATCACAGAAGGTAATTTTCTGAAACAAACAAAAAAATCCTTTTGAGATGGCATACAATCATTTTTTACAGAAGATCCATTGATGCTTAGAAATAAAGTCAATCTTTCAGTCCGTATAAATAGATAAACATCTCAAGAAAGCTGAGTACCATGCTGCTCACATTCTCTAATTGGTCTCATTGGGTTGCTTAGTTACCTGTCATAGCATGGTAACAATTGTGTTGCTCAACAGTTTGCCAGATCAAGAAAAGCTCACGACTCACCTGTCTCCATGTCATCAGGATTACATTATGCCTTTCCTTTTTTTCTCTGAATGCTTCATGTCTTTCATTCCATTTTGTTTAATAGTAACATTTTTCCTACCCTCTTTTTCACAAACATAGTGTGTTCTTTCATTTTAAACCTTTTTGTGTTACTTTAAGGTAATTAATTTATCTTTGACTATCTTGTAACAGATCTCTTCCCTGACCCTACTGGTATGCCCTTTTAGTTTCATAATGCATCCTTTCAGCTCTCTGAAGTAACAGTCAAGAGCAAGATGATTAGGCTTTGAAAGGAATGATAGGTGACTAATGAAGGAAACTTTGCCAAAAAGAGATGTAGTAATCTGTAACTCATAAGTGTATGCCCACCATTATGCCATTATCTGGGACTTCTGTTTTCATTACAGGGACAATGGAGGGGGAAAGTGGGGAAGAAAGATGAGTGATGAACAAAAGGCAACATAATACATTTGCCTTTGCTCCACACTTGTCATTCCAGGCATGGTCTGCTCTTAGCATAACTGAATCACCGAGGGGATCATTATTTCCTATGAAAGCAGCATCAACTATTGGCCAATATTCTGCAGCAGATGTTGGTGTTTTGGCAAACAATTTATTAGCCCTTTCTATATGATCTCCAGAGTTTGCACAAAATATCTACTTCTCTTCTTTTGTTACAATTAGGAGCCACTGCTGACTATGTTCAGAAACACAGTAAGTAACTGATGTCTAAACAGGGCATTTAAGGAAAAATAAATATGGGTTAAAAGTAATAAAAACTCTTGGATTTCAACTTGATCTTACACTCCTGGGTACATATTTTTATCTCCCTTATCTTGAAGCTAGTTTCTGTAAGGAGGTAGAGATATAAGAGCATTTATCCAAATATCAAAGAGGTTAGCAATGGCAGGCAGTGTACTAGCTCTCTTAGAAGATGGTACATGTTACGTTACGTATGAAACCAAACAGATGCTTCTTGAGTTCTGCTGGCAGAGATACAGAAGGAAGGGCTACCCAATGGAGGTACAACTAACAGTGAAAATGAATGAGGTCATTAAAAGAAGATACTTACCACCAAATCCTTGGTGGTGCCTTTCCTTTCTTTAGTTCTATTTGTTGAGGAGCCTTGGAGAAGGAAGTTACGGTTAAATGTTTTCATGGTGCTCACTGATGAGGCCTCACTTGTTTCAGCTAAAAGGAAAGAAACGGCCATGAGTGCAACCCAGAAGTGATCCAACTACTGAGGAAAAAACACCTCAACAGACTGCTTAAGTTTGTGTGCTAGATTATTTTGTTTGGGTATAGAACCATTTTATTTAGTATTTATTTTTTTATGTTGGACTAATTAAGTCAAAGCATTGTTGATGGCTTTCTGGGAAAAGGGCAGTTCAGAAATCATTGTCTATGGTCCATAAATCACTATTTGTAATACTGAACTGCTCCCAAACTCACTAAGTTTTATAACTTTGGGCCAAAACTCATGTGATGACAAAACCTGACCTGAAATGGTATGGGGCATTTAAAGTCCTTCTGTGAATGAGGGTTAATGTTGCTATTCTTTGCTGCAGGGATATTAACATGTTTGATTATCAGATGCTGCCTGGATTGAATTATATACTCCACAATATGTTTTTGGAATACTAACTCATTTACATGTGGATATAATCCCACTTGGGAATAAGGTTTTCTTTGTTATGTTGTTTTTGTTAGGAGCCGTAGAGTCAATTCCAACTCATAGTGATCCTATGCACAACAGAAAGAAAACCTACCTGATCCTGTGCCATCCTCACAATCATTGCTAGGTTTGAGCCCATTGTTATAGTCACTATGGCAATCCATTTCATTGACGGTGTTCTTTTTTGCTGGCCCTTTACTAGGCATGATGTCCTCGCCAGCGACTGGTTTCTCCTGATAACATATCCCAACTATATCTTGCCATGTTGGCTTACAAGGAACATTTTGCTTGTACTTCTCCTAAGACAGATTTGTATACTGTATAGGACCACTACTGTAAAGACTAAGAAAAAGAACCCATACTAAAGGGGGAAGAGGGGGATTCTTTGCTGGCTACTGGAATGTGGGCGGAAGGGTGAGGGGAGGTAGGGGAAGGTGGAGCACAGGGTATGGAATACACACAAGATAGTTTGGTCCTAGAGAGGGGAGCAGTATTCAAGAAGGGGGAGGGGATTGGAAGAACAAAGCAGATAGGAGAACAATTAGGCAGGTTTGCATGGGCTTACTAGGACAGAGGTAAAGAATGATGTATGCACAACCTTGGAACAACAGGGCTCTGGGATACAGGGATTGAGACATGGTTGGAATTGGGAAAAGGGGGGAATAATGTTAAAATGCTTGGCTGCCTTATGAGTCTTGATTTCCCTGGCATATCATGATAAAACAGACACTTGACGGGGAGAGAAAGAAATAGCCAGAAATATCACCATAGAAAGCTTGTAAGTCCATCTTCTGTCTCTAACTCATTGTTGTTAGGTGCCATTGAGTCGGTACCGACCCATAGTGACCATAATTATGCACAGCAGAACGAAACACTGCCCGATCCTGGGCCAACCTCACTATTGTTGTCACGCTTGAGTCCATCGATGCTGCCACTTAGCCAATCCATCTCGTTGGAGGTCTTCCTCTTTTTCTCTGACCCTCCACCATACCAAACATGATATCCTTCTCCAGCGACTGCTCCCTCCTGACAATAAGTCCAAAGTATGAGAGACGAAGTTTGGCCATCTTGACCTCTAAGGAGCACTCTGGCTGCACTTCTTCCAAAAAGGATCTATTGGTTCTTTTGGCAGTGCATGGCACGTTCAGTATTCTCCTCCAACGCCATAACTCAAAGGCATCAATTCTTCTACGGTCTTCCTTATTCACTGTTCAGCTTTCACATGCACATGAGGTTATTAAAAACACCATGGCTTGGGTCAGGCGCACCTTAGTCCTCAAGATGACATCTTTGCTCTTCAGTACTTTATAAAGGTCTTGTGCAGCAGATTTACCTAAATATATTGTTTGATCTCTTGACTGCCGCTTCTGTGAGTGTTGATAGTTGATCCAAGAAGAATGAAGTCCTTGACAACGTCAGTCTTTTCTCCATTGATAAGAATGTTGTTTATTGGTCCAGTGGTGAGGATTTTTGTTTTCTTGACAATGAGATGCAATCCATACAGAAGGCTGTGCTCTTTGATCTTCATCAGTAAATATTTCAAGTCCTCTTCACTTTCAGCAAGCAAGGTTGTATCATCTGCATATTGCAGGTTGTTAATCAGTCTGCCTCCAATCCTGATGCCACATTTTTCTTCATATAACCCAGCTTCTCGTATTATTTGCTCAGCATACAGGTTTAATAAGTATGGTGAAAGAACACAACCATGTCGCGTACCTTTCTGAATTTAAACCATCCAGTGTTCTCACGTTCTGTTTGAACAACTGCCTCTTGGTCCAGGTACAGATTCCTCATGACCACAATTAAGTGTTCCGGAATACTCATACATCGCATTGTTGTCCATAGCTTGTCATGATCCACACAGTTGAAAGACTTTGCGTAGTCAATAAAGAACAGGTAAACATCTTTCTGATATTCTCTGCTTTCAGCCAAGATCAATCAGACATCAGCAATGATATCCTTCGTTCCACAGCCTCTTCTGACTTTGGCTTGAACTTCTGAAAGTTCTCTATCAATGTATTATTATAGCCGTTTCTGTATTACCTTTAGCAAAACTTTACTCACATGGGATATCAAAGAGATTGTCCGATGATTTCCACATTCCGTTGTCAACCTCTCTTTGGAATGTGCACAAATTTGGATCTCTTCCAGTCAGTCAGCCAGATGGTTGTCTTCCAAATTTCTTGGCAGAGATGAGTGAGTGTCTCCTGTGCCACCTCACTTTCTTGAAAGATTTCAATTTTTATTCCATCAATTCCTGGTGCCTTGTTCTTTGCCAATTCCTCCAGTGCACCTTGGACTTCCTCCTTCAGTATCATTGGCTCTTGATCATAATGCTACCTCTTGAAATGGCTGAACACTAACCATTTCCTTTTGGTACAGTAACTCTGTGTGTTCGTTCCTTCCATCTTCTCTTGATGCTTTCTGCATCATTCAATAATTTCCTCAGACAATCTTTCAATAACGAAAGTTGAGGCTTGAATTTTTTCTTCAGTTCCTCCAGCTTGAGAAATGCTGAGCATGTTCTTCCTTTTTGGTTTTCTGATTCCAGATCTTTGCACATTTTATTGTAATATTTGGCTCTGTCTTCTCGAGCTGATCTTTGAAATTTTCTGTTCAGCTCTTGGACCTCCTCATTTCTTCCATTTGCTTTAGCACATTTACACTGGAGAGCAAATTTCAGTGTCTCTTCTGAGATCCATTTTGACTTTTCCTTCTTTCTTGTCTTCTCAGTGACTTTTTGCTTTCTTCATGTATGATGTTCTTGATGTCATCCAAAAACTCTTCTGGTGTTTGGTCTTAAGTGTTTAAGTGTTTAATGTATCAAATCTGTTCTTCAGATGATCTCTAAATTCAGGTGGGATATAGTCAAGGTCATATTTTGGCTCTCGTGGACTTGTTTTCATTTTCTTCAGCTTCATTTTAAATTTGCGTATCAGTAGTTGATGGTCTGTTTCACAGTCTGCCCCTGGCCTTGTCTTCACTGATGATAGGGAGCTTTTCCGTCTTCTCTTTCCAGATGTAGTCAGTTTGATTTCTATGTAATTCCATCTGGTGAGGTCCATGTGCATAGTCATCTGTCATGCTGTCTAATGAACGTATTTGAAATGAACAAATTACTGGTTTTACAGACCTCTATCATGCGCTCTCCAGCATCATTTCTATCACCAAGGCCATATTTTCCAATTACTCATCCTTCCTCTTTGCTCCCAACCTTTGCATTCCAATCACCAGTAATGAGCAATACATCTTGATTACATGTTTGATCAATTTCATCCTCATTGGCTTAATAGTATTATTATTAATAATATTAACTGGGCTTTCCTGTAGGCACATGGATATTATCCTATCACAGACAGAGTTGTACCTCATGAGTGATCTGGATATGTTCCTTTTGACGATGAATGCAACACCATTCCTCTTCAATTTTTCATTCCTGGCATAGTAAACCATGTGGTTGTCAGATTCAAAATGGCCAATACCAGTCCATTTCA